CTGCTGCTGCTGCTGGAGCTGCTGGAGCTGCTGGAGCTGGTGACTCCCTCCCTGTGAGAGTCTCCACTGCCTTTGTTGTAGGGCTTGAAGCTACACTTGTCCTCCAGAGAGGGGCGGTGCTCCCTGTGCTTATGGCTGGAGCCGGATGAGCGACTGCTGGGCTCCTTGTCCCCCTGGCTGCTGGAGGAGCTCAGTTTGGAGGAAGACGGAGGGTCCGGTTTACCAATCTGAGAGCAGGTCTGTGCCAGCAGGGCCAGTGGGCTCTTCTTGGCATCCAGCTACAACAAAAACACAGATTCTGATTAGCTCTGTGAATTTTTGTTCTTACTGTATTCTGCCCAGAGACAATTAGGTTGCCATGCAAAGGGGAAGAGAGCAACAACAAGTTCTCTGTTTGTTTGTAGGTGTGTTAACTGTTGACATTTACATAACTTAAAGTGAGGCTGCAACAATTGATCACCTTAATTAGCCAATATAAAAAAATCCCCATAGGATTGCCAAGAGCTATTAGTGTATTGGGGAAAAAATGATCACAAACTGTTTTCATAATGGATACAATTATTTTCTAAGCAAATATATATACAAAAATGTCAACGTTTCTTGAATAAAGGATTCCAATAAAGGATAAAGGATTGGAATAAAGGATATTCTTTGTCATCTGTGAGATTTTGAACATTTGGTTTAACAAAAAAATACTTTCTTTGACAACATATTTGCCTCAGGGCAGTTGTGGGTGTCATATGGTATTTTCATACATCAAACGATTAATCATAAAGAAAATATTCGTTATTCCAGCCTTAAAGTGTTGTTTTTTGGTCCGATTAACAGTCTAAACTACACAAAAATCATATTTATCAATAATATTTGAAAAACAAGAAGAAACCCTAACATTAAATAATCTAAAACCAGAGGAACAATGTCCTGATTAACAAAAAGTGTCTTATTATTAAATATTCAGTTAATCGACTTATCTCTGCAGCTCTAATTAAAAGATAAAAGTAAGTTGCGATTACTTTTATTATCTCTAGGATTTAACACACTTAGGCATGGAAATATGATAAGCGTCAGCATTTGTGTGTTTCTATAGAATTATTTAAGCGAGGCATTTACATGTTATAATTACAGTGATTCCGAATGAAAGTTCAATACATTTCCACCATTTCATATGATAGTGTTTTTAAAGACAAATAAATACCTCAATGCTCACGGGTGCGGGGGTCAGAGGCTGTAAATATTCCGGGTGTAGCAAGTGTCCGGTGTGCGCACTCAACATCTTGAGGACTCGGATGGGGAGCCGCTTTGCCTGCCGGAGAGGGTCCAGAGGGGCCAGCAGAGAGCCCGCAGCGCCGGGGAGAGACTTCGGACTGTCGCGGGTATCACGGAGCTCGAAAAGCTTACTTACTGATCCTGGAGGCAGATATTTCATTGGTAAGAGGGCGCTGCTGCTTGAGTCGGATGAGCGTTACTTTTCACTTCTTTTTTTACAGGTTATTAATCCATTCAGTCACGTCCCATAATAAAAAAACCCACAGCTGGACGTCCTTAATGTCCCGAAGGACGGAGAAACCTCTCAGTTCGTTTGAAGCATCCTCCGACTCGATTACTTTACTCCAAATTCAAAGCAAAAAACAAAAAAGAAGTCCACTGTGGGAATTGCAGTACGCAGAATGTACACTGTCGCTTATCTAAATGCATTAAAGACCAGAGTTTAGGTTTTATATTCCAGAGTTTGAGAGGAAACGTCCCACTGCGTGTTTTCGGTCCGGACTTCAGCGGCGCACTGATCTTTCTCAACCCGCAGGACTTCAAAGTGTCCGCTGGGTGGCTGCATCACAGGGGGCGGGGCCACCGCGTGCTCACAGAGAGACAGTCCCTCTGATCCAGTGCATGGTGGAGGGAGAAAGGTCAAAGTAGAAATAGAACAGTATAAACACACTCTGTTACAACTATAAGTCTCAAATTCAAAAGGTTACTTAAAGAAAAGTAGTCCCTTTCTATAATCATGAACATTTGCACAAACTCTAGTTAGGCCTACATATTGTAGCCTAAGTCAGTGTTTTTCAAAGTGGGGGCCCCGACCCCCCGGGGGGCCGCCAGGGGGCGCCAGGGGGGGTCACGCAAAGTTTGAGAGAAAGGGGATTTTTTTTTTTTTAAAGTTACATTTTTTTTTTTTTAGATGTTATTAATAACTGCATATCTATCAATCTATGTGTCCTCCTTTGATGCGAATCTTTTAATATTTTTAAGCCAATCAGAATCGAGCTGCCGCTACTGAGAGTGAAACTGAGTATCTGCTCAGCTTTTGGAGCAAGTGAGAGCTCATGAATATTTCGCTCTGCAGCTGGATGAGAGCACGGATGTAGCAAATATTGTTGTTTAATATATTGAATATAAATATCTTTATTGATAATATTACTGTTGAATATTATATATAATATTATTAAGGCATAAGTAGCTTTTAAAAATGCAAAAAATATATGTTAATTGTTCATATTACTGTTCAAAATTATATAATATTATAAAGACAGAAATCACTTTAAAAATGCTTTAAAAATGTGTTTACTGTTGATATTACTGTTTAATATTGTGTTAAGAATGTTTATAACAGAAGACACAATCAATGACAAACAAAAGATAAATCCATTTTTTTTTTTAGAAGAATAACTGATTATTAATTATGAATACAAATATATATTAAGAAAATGTATTAAGCTGTATGATTAATTTGTCATATTCTCCATCATAATGTACTCATCATTTAAAAAAAAAATTGCAACAGGGGGGTCCCCGCCAGAGGATAATGCTGTATGGGGGTCCTTGGCATGGCAAAGTTTGGGAACCCCTGGCCTAAGTAACACTAGCTCACGGGATAGTGTACTTTTAATAAAAAGCTTATGTTTCTGTCCCTTTAGTAGATTGGTCTATTAGAGAGAATTAAAATGTATTCTGTATATTTTATCAGTTTTTTTCTATTTGTATTTGTTCTATGTTTAATTCTTGTACAATGACTGTCAACTATGACAAAACAATTTCTCTACTTGGGAGAAAGTATCTATATCTATTTATCCCTCCATCCATCCATCCATCCATCCATCCATCCATCCATCTAGATACATGTGTGTAAAGTACTCATACAAAACTGCTCCTTTCACATTGTTACCAATTATAATGTTTAGAGTTCTACAGAATCATACCATATGGCTGTTGAATAAGTAATAGTAACTATACAAATTGTAGTCGATTAAAAAGAAACGTCGTACATTCGAAGTTTAAAACACCTATGGAGTCAAATTATAACATAAAATTAAAGAGATGAGATATTCAAGTAAAGTACCTTAACAATTACAACATTTGAGTAAATGTATTTGGTGACGTTTCACCATTGTATTTACTTTAGCCTTAGTAAGAGTTTGCATTTTGGGATATATAAAAGTTCAGTCTCAACTAAGTGTGGTTTATCTTCTACTCATAAAGAATGGGTCATCATTTTAGCATTACATGTCTTTGTACTTTATTTCCATCATAAATCATCTGTCATCCTGCTCTCAGTACGAGTCTAGGTCGAGCAAGGAGACGCTTGTTTATCTCATACAGCCATCAATTGTCCCTGAAAAGTTTACTCATTTCATTAAATTTCATCCAAAGGCCAGAGCGGGCAAAATAATCATCACCTGTCTTTTGTGTATTTATAAACTGGACAATTAAATGGTTTGAAATTCTGGAAAGATAAATCTGTAACCGAGGGTTGTCCTAGATTTTGTGGTTGATCAGGAGATGCACACACAAAAAAGAATAACAATTGATGGACCTTTGCACATCATTTTGTCAACCATGACTAAGAGACAAGATCTGATCCCACACGAGTTTTCAGACGAAACTATGAGCGTTAAATCATGAGGTTCAATCCCAGAGTATCTCAAAAATATTTGATAGATGACTCTAAATCTAAACTCAGAGGTTCCTAAATGGAAAACTAAACTTTGCTGAACATGCAGATGGTATAATCTCCAGCTCATGAAACATAGATCTAAGAGTGCACTAGGAAGTGGTGAATATATCCCATATTAAAACAAAAAATGCACTTTTGTGAGAGTAATGGTGTAGAGAACAAAATCAGAGAGCAGTGGAAATAAGTCATATAGTCACATGAGTCATCTTGGTAGTCAACAAGAACATGAGTACAGGGAAAACACCACAAGGGTTTACCGGTTTAGATGTTGTGTGTCAAAGCAAAGAGCAATTTGCATCCAAATGTGTCGTTCTTTTCAGAGTCATAACTAAGTCCATTCTGAACACAGAGACACGATTCACATACTTTTAGATTCAGTGGGATATACACTTCACACAGATATCATTATCACCAATTTGATGCAACGCGGATCAATAGATCCTTTTTTTAAATCCTAGGGAAAAATGTGTCTTAGATTTCAGAACTTTCCTCCATATCAGCACATTTTTGAGTTTTCTGCATTACTTGAATGATAGCTGTCTGACATAAATGGGTAGCTTGCAAGCAGGAAGTATTATTAGCTAACTTTGCATTTGTACAAATAAAGGCTGAGTGTGTAGCCCACACTAGCTACATCCATGGCAACATTTCTCACTAGGGCCTCAAGCGCCTGAATGATGGGAATGTTTGCTCCAAAACGTAGAGCACAATTATCTTCATGTATGCATATTTCAATGTACAGCTACTGTGTGACACATGGAGTTAAGCAGCAGAATCACACTACACACCTACGCAATGATTAAATTCAGTCACACTGTAGAATACAACCTCAATTTATATTCTTATTGAAAACAAGCTACAAAATGTAATACCTTGGAAAATGCCGTTTAATACTTTTTAATAGCCTTAATTTTCGCTAAATTGATTTATCAACTTTTAATACTTTTTAAGACCCCGCGGACACCCTGTAAATGCTTAATCCATATTTGAACATATGTAGTTATGTTATTACATTTTAAGACAAGTCATTCATTTTCTTCTTAGTTAAAAAGGTTCTGATATACTTTCATACTTGACAAGTGGAGGATGGATAGTTTGTCTTCTGGCTTTTGCTGAGCATTACACAAAAAAAATCAATAAAGTATACAGAACAAGTCACTTGTCCTTTATTAATTTATGGCATTTATACCAGGGAAGAAAAATGTGAAAAAAGACAGATCGCCTTTATATTAATGGTTCTATAAATCTGGAATGTTAATAACTTTATTGCATTACCGCCGCCTGCTGACTGACTTTGCAATGAGCTAATTTTGTTAACCTAATTATACAATGAATTGGTTAAAGTACTTAAAAATTACGGCTGACAAGAACTATTAGCAGCAGCCCAGAAATAGTCCCAGTCTGAGGGGCTTTGATTCTCTGGATCCTTTGCCGCCTCAATTGAGTGCAAAATCATTCCTAATCCCTCATAACCTGTGGGCAAACGGCTGTATAATCTGAATTAGCTCACGGATATGTGTTCATCTGCTGTGGGGTGTTCCTTAATCTTCAAAAGCAGTGGTTCACATGTAAATATAAGGAAAGGGTAATACTTGTGTTAAACGACATGCCGTTTATTTAGAGAATTCCCCTTGTGCTATCCTTACAGGCCTCGTTAACGTTTGGAATCAGCGCTTTGTTAGAAAAAAGTTTAAAATAACTGTCACCTTGACCTCATGCCCTAAACTGCAGAAACAGCCACTCTCAGCCATCCATCAATGTCTCATTTGTGATAAGAAGCAGAGTGGAGCACCATCTCATCAGGACACAAGGTCACAGGCCCGCTGCAGAGAAGAGCTCTGTGGCTTCAGGGGGAACAGAACCAGCAGGAGAGCTGCTTTGCCTTATTTACTGCTGGCACAGGACAGGAGTAGTTAGTATGCAGGCATGGATCTACAAGGGCACAAAACAACTTTAAAAAAAACACATTTAAGTAATCAAAAATAAATCTATAAATGACAGCATTTACCAGTGCTTTACTTTCAGATGTGTAAAGTCACAGCATGTTTCCTTCGTTACAAGAAAGTGCAGATCTTGATGAGATAAGATATTTTCAAACCCTAAAGATGCACTCACGAAAGATGCAATGCAGAGTCAAATCCAACTGTAGTGAGGTGATACAAATCTGTACGTCTGTCATTAAACACTATTTTTCCTGCAACTCTTACCATTTTCATTGTCTTTAAGTGTTAAATGAAGGTAAAATGATATATTTCTGTTCTCTCTTATAGTCCTTTTACTAAGCAAGACATGGTTCCGAGTGTTATAAGTCACATCTTAAGCTCTTTCCTAAAGAGGTAAACAGGTGTGGATCTCTTTTGGGTTAAGGGGAATTATCTGAAGTAATGTCTATTGTTTAAGAGGAAATAAAAGAAGTCAAACACTGAGAAGAGGGCCACAATAAACAATAGAGCTCTTTTCTTTAACTTCTCGTGACTTGCCTTGAAGTTGGTCATTAACAAGCATTTGCTCAGTGTCTGTGAGTAATTACTGTTTCCTGTTGTTGCCTAATTTGAGACGGGTTTCCTCTTGTTGCCTTATCTTAAAAAACATAATCAATGCGGCAACACATGAAAAAACAATGGAGCAAAGTTTGATACATGGACTAAAACCTTACAACCTTAAAAAGAGTCCTTTAGGACATTAAGAGTGTTTGTGCTGTGCTGAAATGCAAACAGTGATTGATAGTGTGTTCTTTTGTCTTTGAGGTGGCAAATAATCAGAGGTGGGTAGTAACTAAGATAAGATAAGAGCTGCTTTATTGATCCCAATTTGGGAAATGTTTGCGTTGCAGCAGCATAA